AAAATTCATTAAAAAAAAAATCCTATATCAATCATATTTCAAAAATATAGATTCCCATTTGAATTTTAAAAGTTACCCCTAAAATCCCCCCCTTTTAACTAATAAAAAAAAAAATTAATATCAAATTAGTTTAGAGTATGTGATTCAAATAAGTTTTCACATAGGTCATTTTTTCCTAATTTGAGTAGAACATGCTGAAATCTGCTGTCACATGAAATTTGGAACACCCTGTATACTTACAATAACGTAAGCTGATAAAACATGTGCATCACGTACATAGGAACGCAGTACAATATTCAGTACTTGTCGCCGATGTGTATAAAAAAAAAAAACCGTCGAGGATGTGACGATTATTATAAGTAGTGTAACGATGCATCGATGTACCTATAATATTTTCGTCAGGAAATTTCGATATAAAAAAAAAGAAGAATATTCGCAAGTGACCAAACAGCGGCAATCTCACATATTATTATTGCTTACCTAGGTACCAATAATATTATGGGCACTTAACACTTAACATCAACTCTTGAAGCCATATCGTATGCCCATTGCCCGTGTAAGTAGGTACCTATAATTCATTTTATTCTCATCCAGCCATATATTTATTATTTATGGTTATATAAGTCTATACAATAATAAACATATTTCTGGGAAAAATAAAATTATATTTACATGTATAATAAAATACTTACTTTATATATGTATGTATATTGTGTGCATGAATTATTAAGGAACACCATTTTAGGTCGTTTACAACCGTTTGATCTGTTACCAAATCCCACACACACATGCATGGTTTGTATACATGCATATCGTATAAACAATCGTAGGTAATATTATAATACATTTGTTAGGTGCTTTTCAGTCGTCCCTAAAGTCCGTGGGCGGTGCTGACTGACTGTCTTACAGCATGAGCGTAACTAGGGGGAGAGAGGCACTAAGACATGTAATAACCCCCGAAATAAATAATGCAATAAAATTGATTCCTAAAATATTAACAAACCTTTTAAAATTCAACTGTAATTCTTATTTATTTATTTGGAAAAGTTTATAATTATTTTATATTATACCTATGTCAAACATATGGGAAACGATTTATGTCTGTACGTTGGTACGATTATCATACACAATTTACAGTATATGCGCTGAACTACAATCACTTATAGAGAGTATATAATTGTAGTGAAAAATGAAACTTGAGTAAATAAATATTTGTTTTTGTTTGTATGACTTTAAATGAATATATATATGTAGAGTGCGGGGCATTGCCTCCACGGGTTAATTTTCATGCAATATCATGTGAGGGGGGAGGGGCTACAGCATCCTCAACTAAATAGCCCTAGGTTAGCCACTGATGACTGAGTAGCGTTTTTTAGGAGTTTGATAACTTACGTTTTCTTTGTATTTTTATGAAAAAAAAAACTGCTAAAGAAAACTGAACAATAAAATCATAATTTAGTAGTTATTATTAAATTCGATAGATATAGAGGCCCATCCATAAACAAGTATACTTTAGGCCTACCTATAGCTACATATACACCGGTGGAATCCAACCTGGTTGCGTATACGATTAAGATTATTTGTGACACGACTGCGTATACTAAATAATAGGCTGCGACATTGTCAAATTTAAAGTATACGATAACACTATGTTTTTTGTTTTTTTCAAAATTAAAGCTGGACAATGGACATGCAGGTTCAAGGGTAAGAATTTACTCGACAATTAGTATCATAATAATATCATTATTATTATAAATAATATAATATGTACCTACGATATACCTCATTTTGTGTTGCAAGCTAATAACCCTAGGAGTTGAAGCTGTACCATGAATTAAAAAAAAAAAATAAATATAATATTATATATTATATATTATATATTATACATAATATTATGCTATCATTATTATGAGAAAGGTAATAAGTAGATATTGTATAAAATATTATAGTTAATTAAACTCGTTAAAAATTTTTAGACGCATAAATGTTGGTAGTTTATATTGGTTTGGAACAGTATATTGTGGAAAAATAACCCATCCGAAACACATGGTGTTGAAAATTGAAACTGTATTTTTATTGACAAATACTTCTTTGGAATCCTTATCCGTTTAAAATAATTAATATTATATCGGAAACAAATTCGATAAGAAACCCTACCTATATATTTTTATGGAAAATATTATGTTCATATGTTGATGGAACTGTAATGTAGTGGATAATGTCTTATCAGAAAATTTATATTCATGGAAATTATTTCGTCGAAAATTTATATTATTTTTTATATGTTATTTATACAAATAAAAAAATACATCTCCAACAAATACGTTTCTGAACTTATACTAGCTATTCCCACAAAATACGTTTCAATTAAATAAGCTTAAATAAAATTGAAAATAATATTTTTCTACAATTGTATTTTCAAACTTATATACCTATTACGTTTTTGAGCATATACTTTTCCGACGAAATATGTTACAAATACTAATACAGTTCCAGATAAATTGATTTCAGAAAAAATATTTTCCGAAGTTTTACTTCCCAACCGATTATTTGCCAAAAAAATATGTATAATGTTTCTGTATCATTTGTTTGTTCTATAGATTTTAATATATGTATAGGTACATAATAATTTTGTAACTTGGATTTACAGTTGTAAAATGTATGCGGTTTGGAAACATTGCACATTTGCACATAAATATAAAATTAATTTAATTATACAGAATCGTGTTAAGGAAAATTCAAAAATATACCTCCGATAACTGGTAAATAAGTAGTCTCACGAAAAGTGAAAATAAATTATTATTTAATTTTAATTACCTAATGGTTAGTACTCAGTATATTTATTAGCATAATATTATGTATAATGTATATATTATTATATCATTTATACCATATGCATTTATTAATTATTAACTCACTCTACACTCAAAATACGTATTAAAATCATTAAAATTATTTTTTGTCTCCAATCTACCTACCTAACATTGATCTGGTTTATTTTAGCATGTCTCACGAGATAATCTACAGAAAAAGTTAAGATTCTCTGAAAATTAAATAATCCCAACAACAGCCTGGCCATAATAACATCAATACATTATACATATACAGTCGACTATTATGGATAACTAAATAAGTAAACCTCTAGTTCCGACTGCTAATGAGTCGACTGCAGCAGTTCGCAACAGCTGCAATACTGTGTGTGTACTTAATATATATGATATATATATCATATATGTAATTAACAAATAGGTAATATACACTTCGGAATAGTATATAAGTATATAACACGTATGCAGGTTAATGTATAGACTATAATATACCCACCTACCTACCATATACAGGGTGATTATCGAGTATGCTTACCTACCATTTATTTTTAAGCATCCACATCAAAATACCAAATTTTCAAATACAAATATTTTTATACTATTTATAATGAGTATCATCTGGCTATAAAAAACCTTTTTTTGTTTAAATCTAAACTAACCTTTATTATTGTAGGACTTTTTAAAACGTTGACTCGAGTACTCGACGTATCGAAATAGATATTCAAACTATTACTTTCAGAGTTCTTACACTTTACTTTACCATTGACGATTTATAATGGTTTAACATAAAATATAATACAAATGGAATATTTTGTCTACTATACTTATTACTTATTAGTTATTAATTATTTTAATATATTGCCATTTTACATTTTCGATGGATTAAAAAATCTAATAATAGCTCCTGTGCATATTCTAAATCTATCATCATTGATATTATCCTTAAGTACCTATTCAAATTAATGTTCAAAACTAAAGTGTTCATTGTTAATCTTAATGTAATATTGATATATTGTACATTGTTATTGTAAGAAAATAAATAAATAAGAATAATAAAAATGAGAACTGTTAAACTACTCGTTGAAATTTCGATATTACATCAACATTTTCAAAAAAATATCAACTCTTTAACATATTAAGTATGTACGTTGTTTTTAAATGGTGGTTTTCATTTAAAAAAAATAACAGTCCGTACCGCTACAGAATACTCCTAAACAATATAATATATGAAAAATAAAAAATAAAGTATACCAAATTACAAAATGAGAATTTGAATAATATACATCTTCATCATTAAAATATTGTAAACAAATGGGGATAAACATACCGATAGAACAGCAACGAAAAAAATCTAAGGAAAAATCTAGTTTCTTATGGTCTTTAAGTGTAGTAAGTACATAAAAAAATCCGAAAATCAGGAGTCGAATAAATGAGCACATTACGTCATGTCTGGTGAATCACTCTGTATAATCGACGACGGTCAGGTGTCTCTGGGCTGGGCCAGACCGGTCCTAGGCCGCGACGCGTCGTTGCAGTCGGCGGACAGACAATACCTTAGGTACCATGCAACGCGTATTATTATAATAGTGAACGATACCCCCGTAACTTGCCTCGGTCCAGCAAGAATAATAATAATAATGATAAAATAGTGAACGCGTTACGGTGCTCGGAGGAGGATGTGCGCACGTCGGCGGTTGCTCTTCGTTCGCGATATTATATTATAATATTATTTGTCTACACGATGATATCGTAACATCACGTCCGTGTTATTTAGAGGATATAATAATAATAATAGTATAAAACGTATAATATAGTTTATTTTCGTATCGCGATACACAAAAGTAATTACATCACAACCTCCGTCGAGAATTTTTATTTTGACATCGCCGGACGTAGGTACCTGTATTATACCTATCTCTGATATCCATCATGTCCAGAAAACTCGAGAAATTCGTAGTGTTGTTCGACAACACCAACCTGTTGTATTTCCCGGGTCAGTTTCTTAGCGGCAGAGTGTTGGTGGAGCTCAAGGACGACACGCAGGCCTTGGGTAAATATAATAATATGAATATAACATAATAATAAGACGAACAGACATCGTTGTCGCAGACGAATTATTTTTTGTAACATAAAAAACAATAATAATATAATAGGTACACTAAAATATAATACCTTAGCTGCAGGCAGACGCTATATGCAATAATAAGGATGCTGGGTACCTACCTATTCATACGTCATATTGTCATAATAATAATATGTATAATGTACATACATATATGTCATGGTATCATATGATTGGCATACAGACTGGTATGTCTGTAAAATATTACCATCATAGGTACTTGTTCAGTTTTTAAATACTCGATTCGTGATTTTATTTTAAAAGCACGAATTTGTGAAAAAAGGCCCAAGTATAATACTTTTACGGTATAAATTCTATGTTGACATAGCTGTATCGTCTCTGTCAGCTCCGCTAAATTTACAATAAATTTTAAATGCAATATTCATGTAAAAACGTACCTATATATTATAGTCACAGAGCAGTATAAAAAAAATTTGATGTAGCCGATGATGGAGGTCTCCACGATTCACGAAGGTTCATTTTCAACGTAGGTTTATATTTAACCACCTACTTGATTGAAATTCATAAAAACATATGTTTGACAAGTATGAATAGATATTACTTGTGCGTACCTACCTATAAGTACCTACTTCAACATGATTTCCTCGTCCGACGGAATGCATTTTCCGTCACTCGGCCGATCGCGATTTATTAAAATATATATGTATATGTATCTACATGTATGAGTACGTGAAAAAAAATCTCTATAAGTACATATAATATTATAATTTATAATAATATAATATGTGTTGTAACCGTGAGTGAAAGTGTATAATATTATATTATCCTACCGGTTGGCGGAGTAGGCGTAAAAAAAACCTGCAGCCCGGCACACGCCTCGTCGACTCGTACCTATCTAATATATATTATATATATACATGCACAGTATATAGGTATATGATATAATTTCAACGCATTATTGCGCGCGTCTTTGTTTTCACTACAGCAGTGTCTTATACACCGTATAGTCTTGTATTTTGCGAAGTGCAAATCGCGGAAACCGAACGTTTTGTCGGCTTAAAACTTTCGTTTTGAAAAGACTTGCGAATGCCCGAAATCCATTGTAGGTAATTGCTGCTACAGAAATTCTGTGTGCAATTCTGAATTCCTTTATAATATATTTTATATGAAATGTTATAAATTTAAATAATATTATAATATATCACAATACCTACATATGTGAATTGTTTAACAACTTGCCTAAACATGTCTGACGTCTGATTCGTTTGTATGTACGTCTGTTAATAATGTATATAGAAGCAAGGCGGGTAGGTATACATGCGATATATTATAAATTATATTATATATTATTGTAGGCGGCATAGACATTTTATAGACCCGAGGGGAGAGCACTAGTGACGCTTGTGAACAAATTACAGATTTCTTTATGAAAAAAAATGTGTTGTTTGAGTATCAGTAATAAGTCTTTCAAACAAAAACTTGAGTAACGATATTATATTATTTACGCACTACGATACTATGCATACATAAAAAAAATTCTACTGAGCGTTCAAATTTTTAATTTTGAGAACTAATATTATAATCTGCAGTTCACAGAGTTATCTTTTTAATCTATCAATTCAAATTAAACTTTTTTTATTTTTGAGAACTACCACGCGAGATATCACGAGAGTAAATATGAAAAAAAGTCGTAATGTTGCGCGTATTAGGATTCTTATTTTTTAGAACTTAGAATATGTGAAAACTCGTAAACGATCGTAGGGAGTACGCGAGTACCTAGCTACTACCTAATAGGAGTAGTGAGTACTATTGAACTTGGTATGTTTTTACTCTCTAGCACAGTGGTTTTCAAACTTTTATTATACACGACACACCGTACACTTCAAAAAATTTTCATGGCTCACTGACCTTTTTTTAGATGAACAATTCAATGCAATCGATAATTTATGGAAAAACCTAGGCACACTTAGTGGATACTCGCGGCACCCAGTTTGAAAACCACTGCTCTAGCAATTAGCATTTTACCGCATACAGATCAATGATAACTAATATAATATGATTCTCATTGCTTCTCAAATTATTTCGCTAGAAATCGTTCATTAAACTTAAAATGTATTGAAAAAAAAAAAATCAACAAGGTTCAAAAGGTGCCACCTTCCGAAATGTAATTAAGGTATTTAGTCCTGCATAGGGTGATGTGCCATGTGCACATTATTCAGTTAGGTATACGTATATTTTCCTGTCTACTTGTCATAGGTACTGTGAATTAAAAATTGAAAATTATTATAATCTAATTAACAATTAATTCTAACAATGCATATAATATATAGTAAATACTCACTAAGTAATTTTTTTTTTTAATCTTCGAGCTAGAAAGTACAAAAAAAATGTACAATTGAACAGTAAACACACATTATTGTATTAAATTATTATATAGCCATGTAGGTGATACCTACTCGTATATTATAAATAATCTATCGTAGTTAATTCCTCATAATATTATGTATGTCTTAAGTAAATCTCGTAAAATATGTGCCTATTGTGCCTGCAGTGTCACAATAAGTTTTGAGGCGTGGTTAATAATTGTCAGTTTATTTTTTTTTTTTGACCTTCATAACCTAACGACATTAGGCCATCTAACGTATAACATGGAAATTGACGATGTCTTGATTTCTGTCTTCTGTGAGCATGTATAATATTATTTAAAATTTCAGTCCTTGTACAATTTCAACAGCAGAACCAGTATAAAATAAGATTTTTTAACTGCGTGAACATTTAAGTAAATAATAAAAAAGAAAGTATCAGATCAATAGTTTATTGTACATTTGTAGTTTTTAATTGATAACTATAGATTAATTATTATAGGCATTAAGCACTATGGTCGTCGAGGACAATATACTGGACAACTAATAAAAATATGATTGTAATATTGAGATGAGAGCAATTTAAATTTAAATTTGAAATGATAGATAATTAATAATACCTACTCTTTTTTGAACATTGTGTATTAGGTATGATACATTTAATAAAAAAATAACATACTTGCCGATTGAAAGATAAATGAATGAATATCCATTTAAATAAACATAATCTTATACGTCCTACACACTTTGATAGATTGCTGTATTAAATTATATTTTTAGATTAAAATATTGTAATATTATTGGTACGGCCATCGACTGAATCCAGATTTAGGTAATATAACATTAGCTAGCAACAGGTCTACTTACATCGTCGAAACTATGGATCAGGCTAGTCTGGTCATAATCTCACCTAATACTGACTGCGATGAATAACATAATGACTTAATAGAATTTAAAATTAAAAACTTATTTTGTAATTAGTATTTTTTCATATTTATCATTTGGCAGGTCCTAATAACATATTCTATAGTTTAGCTTATGCTTACTTATAATATGATGTGCAATTTTATATCTAGTCCTACTGCACCACAAATCCAACTCTACTACGGATGTCCTATAATGGCTGGATTAGAGTAATATGTTATTATGCTGTAAATTTCAAATCTTTTAAATTATTTATTTTAAAACTTACGGATCACAACACGGTGTCCAGGTGTCTAGGATCAAGATATCTCGATATTTTTTAACTGTTGTATCTATTATTTATATATATTATATACCTATCACCCGTCCAACCAGTCAGTATCCACTTGTTAGATTGGTATTTTATTTTTCCCCGAAGATCATCAATAAATTTTGAGCTAAATACCTGCAATACTCAACCAACGAGTAAACGGAATAATTATATGTAGGTTTCAAGCAAAACAAGGTAAAAAAAAAACAACAATATTGTAACATTCATGACACTGCAAACGTGATGCAACATTATTTTGTACGCACGGTGTCTGCAGTTTCACTAATTTTATTTATAGAAAAACATTTTGTACCTCTTGCTACAGACTTAGGTATACAAGCCGCAAAATGACCTTATTTTGAAATGTCAATTTATTTTCATTCGTTTCGAAGCAACGCCGTCATTAATTAGCTGAAGCACCTATACTTATATAACCGATAAACGTCAGTACAATATATAATATAATCATCCTACAGTTATAATAATGGCTAGACTTTATGTTTTAGTTGTTGTAATAACTAATAAGTATATATCACCAAGTCGCATGACTGCATGACCGTTCGATACTATTTGAGGATCGTTAAAATTGTAACGGACCAATCAACGAGAATCCGTTAAATTCTCAATTGGTTGTGCAAGGCACGGCAATAATAATTATAAATTATTACAGTGAGTAATGAGAAGTGACCATATAATGAACTGCAAGAACGCGCGAATAACATACCAAATTTATAGCATTAATGATTCCCCTAATAAATGACCCCGGCAAAACTAAGTAAAAAATAACTCCATACTGAAGATTTTTTTTTTTTTTATTGATCCTGAGCCCGGCAACTGTGGCCATTAGCTATTAGTAGGTACTGTAGGTTTTTGTATTGATGGTTTGTTGGAACGGTAGGGGGAACACGTGTGTGTTTGTTTTGGCAGAATTTCGAATGGGGCACCCGTAGGTTTCTGCCATGCCCCGGGGGTGGGGGATGGCAGCACTTGCTCTCCGGTCACCGCGACTTGTCCGGAGAAAAATGCCGCCCGGTGGCCGAGGATCGAACCGCGACCGGCTGCGTCGCAGCGGAAGAGTCAGACCACTCGGTCACCTCGTCCCCCATACTGAAGATTATATTATATGTTATGCATAATATGTATTCACACGATTACAATGTCAGCATATATTGTTTAAAAACAAACAAATACATTGTTGTAGGTAAATACTTGCATAAAAATGTAGTTTTTGTATTTCTGATTAATTATTAACTTATATTATTTTTAAAAATATTGACTTTTTGTACGCCGCTGATAAAATAGCCGAGTCTAGAAAACAATTATTTCATTTAATTTCAATTTTTTTTAAATATCAAAAATAATATGCAATTTTAAAATATTCTATAGAAAGTTAGTTTTTTTCCTTGGTTATTTTTTTCAAGCCATTTTTAGTTGCAACATCGAGTGGGACAGCAGTAACATTATATAATACTATTTACTTACCAAATATTTTTGATGAGACAGTTTATTTTCCGTGTGACCATACTGATCACATTTATATATTTTTTTAAGATTGGGTTATTATGTTCATTGCACTTGAATACTTGAATTTGCATGCGCTAAAAATTTTAAAACATAATTTGAAATTACAGGTAGATATGTCATAGCCCATAGGTTAGAACTAAATGAAAATGTTTCTTTTAATTAATGTTCGGCATTGTATTTTATTTTATTTATTTGCATCTATATTTACTTGATTTTTGATCATCAGCATATATTGCAGTGTGTTTCCGATTAGAGGTACCACTATAGTAAATATTGCAGCAGGTACCCTGAATTAAAATTGTGCGAGGAAATGCATTACCGAAATACACATTATGAAAAAACTTCAAAATACTTAACACAACTTAGGTACTTTTATTTTAATTGACGGTAAAAAATTTTTCTACAGATTAAAAATTTTGGATAGACTATGTTTTTCTTTAACAATATGTGAAAAAATAAATTTGTTCTTATTCAAAAAATTGAAAAAGTGTTTGTCACTCGGCTTTTGAGATACATGGCTGACGTCACATGTTGACGATTATACCAAAAACCATACAAAATCACAAACAGTCTAACTCTATAATAATAAATTGTTTCCCAATACCTATTTATTATACGTATAGGTTGTATCAACGGGATGAAAAAATATTTTTATTGTCATAATAAAAAAAATTGCTAAAGATTAAGTGCTATGCAGCCTGGCTGCGGTTTAATGATTCACGGAACATCACCTTAGTAGCTCAGCCGTGACTAGTTTTGATGAAATGAAATGCACAATTAACCTTATATAATAATATATATAAGTAGATGTATTATGTCAAAATCACAAATTGTATAGCTTTGGAGTAGGTATTTATAATTGAAAACTATAAATTTGCTACGGTACAGAGCGTGTGGTCGGTCAATCACTGCAGCGATCATAAATCGTAAACATTAATAATGCATACAATAAATAATAATCATACTCGCCATAACTATTATAAACCCGTCGTCGGATTAATCGGTTGACATATTTTATAATATTTGATTTATTTATGAAACAGGCCTACATTTCCATGTGATCGGCGAAGGAGTAGTGCGATTGAAAAGTAAACGTCGCGAGCGGATCTATGATAAGGAAAACTACATCGATTTTCGAATGAGACTTCTCGGAGAACCGGGTATGTATAATATTATTAATTATGCGATAACTCCTCGAGATATCAAGGAAAGACAATGAATATTAATTTAGCAAAGTTCCTTCAAATGCGGATGCATGTGATTGATACTATAATAGCGCTAATAAAAACCGTCAGCGGTCTTAATAAGGGTGGACATATTACATTTTAGCTCAAGTCCTCCAAAATTTGTGATTTAAAAAAAAAAACTTTCAAAATCTGGAATAAGAAATGAAGAAACAAATTTTAATATATCATGTTCATTTAACGAAGAAAAAACTCATTGTTTTAAAAAAGTATCAACGTTTTTAAAATTATTTTTCTAAAAAAACGTAGGGTATTTTTACTATTTTTATCGTCTTTTTAACTTTTTGAATGATAAAATACGTTTTAAATTTCATATTCCATAGCAGAATATTAACTATAAGTATTTAGATGCATACGAATCTAATTTCGTACGATTGTAGTTAATTATAGTTATAAGTTTTAAACTTTAAAGTTTAGATGAATGGAGTAGTGTGGACCAACATTATGTGAGGTACTCGTGCACCACTACACTTCACTCATCTAAAATAAACATTTATAACTCATAATCTACTCGTAAAAAATTTGATTCGACCAGAAATTGGACAAACATTGAATCTTTAAAATCAGAGTGTTTTTAGATATATTTGGACTTTGGAGGCAAGCATTAGGTCTTTATTAGAACTTAGAAACAGGGGCGCAATTTCAATGAAAAAACTGGGGCTGCTAAAGCCCCTTTATTTTATTTTTTATTATCTTATGGTTGTGGATACCTGCATAATGACTATTAAAATGTAAATTAATATGAACAAATTTAGGAATGCTAAGCACCTTCAAGCACCCCTTACATTGCGCTTATGCGTAGAAGCCATATTATTATTGTACCATCGGCGTATGCACCTATGGATATAAAATAAGATATACGTATGGGGGAATGATGAATTAAAAATGTAACGACTAAAAATTATACAAAATAAATATTTTCAAAAATGTTAATAGTTTTTGGAACGAAAAATATTACGTATACAAGAATGAAACAATATTATTATATAATATAGTCAATAAAATAATAAGACGACCCTCCTATTAAAAAGAAATAAATAAACTCTCAAGCCCGCCTACGGTCTTATACACGAATGGCCCTCCGACCACGCCAACTTTCAAGGTTACATTATCATAATATAATAATAATTAAAATGTCCTCCGCGGCGTGTGCAGGACAACCGCCAGTGATGCTGTCACCAGGCATTCACAGTTTTCCGTTTAAACTCGGCCTGCCACCGGGCCTGCCGTCCACGTTCCTGGGAAAGTCCGGCTGGGTCCAGTACTACTGCAAGGCTGCACTCCGGGAGCCCAACTCGCTCACGCACAAGAACCAACAAGTTTTCATCGTCATGAACCCGATCGATCTCAACATGGAGCCGTCCATTTTATCTGTAGTAAAACATGTTACACGCAATAATAATAATAATATGATAATAATGCTATGACTCAATTGTGTATTATGCACGGTGTACCTTAGATACTTGCATAGTTAGATAGGTAACAACATTTCCTGCCGGTGGTGGATTCAGCAATATTATGCATCGAGGTGTTCATTGGTGTGGGGGGGAGGACAGCGGGGCGATCGGTTACCCTTTGGTCTGATGTTTTATGTACAAATAAAATTGGATGTTTCTTACATTTCACGCACCTAAATCGCTGAGATGGATGATGTTGAGTAGATATAAGGATATATCCACCTTGAGTAGGTATTAAAAATCGAAAAACATTTTTATTATCTACCTATACATATATTATATGTAATAATATAGCATATACATATTAAATACGTCATAAGGTCGCAAACTGTATCATTTTAGAAAAAAAATTTTGTAAATAAAATTTTATCGTACCCATAAAATATTTCCAAAATGGAAAAAATACGTTCCATCACACAACCGATAATCTCAGACGAGGAGACTACGTCCCCCTGAAAGTGGATGGGTTTTTGTAGGATGAGTGAGTGATAGTCTCCGTGTTTCCACCCCTCTTGAATCCGCCACCGGACAATCGAACGTCAGGCCACATTTTACTATCGTACTGATGGTGCGATTTGATGGTATCAGTCTGAGCAACGATGCGACTATTGTTTCGCAGGAACCGTTCCGGTGCGACATCGATCACAAACTATCAAAGGCCATGTGCCTGGGATCCGGTCTGGTCGAGTGCCAGGTGTGCCTAGACAAGGGTGCCTATGTGCCAGGTGAAACCATTGAGATCACGGCTACGGTCACCAACAACAGCAAAGTTACCATTAAATCGACCAGAGCTACGCTGACGGAGGTGAGTAAGAAACATAAACCAAGGCTGGGCATTAACGAGTTAAAAAGTTAAGTTGCTTTTAACTAAGTTACTTAACGAGTTACTTTTATTTGCATTTTGATTTTTACATATATATAAAAAATAATTGCCTGAAAAATCAAATACTATTTATGTTATTACTTATTTTATTCTGTATTCTAAGTAGGTTCTAAATTGTAAGCTGTCACAAGTGTTTTGCATTATTTCTGTCTTTAAGATTTCAATAGGTATTAAAATAGCGTAATTACTAGAGTTAGGATGTTGATGACTTTTGCATTTTTTTCCTTTGATTCTATACATCGCTTTCTTAGATAAAAATTTGTTTCATGCTCCCTTCATGCAGAATATTCTCATTTTATTTTGCATTTTCAGTTATATTTAGCTATAAATGCATTTTTTTGTTTTTTTAATGTTATGCTTCAAAATGTTTAAGTCATTTTTTCCTAATTTAAGGTCATTGTTTGTAGTTTTTGTATAATGTCGGGGGTATTTTTCTCCAATTTTAGATTTTGAAGAACATTTGTATAACATTCAAAAAATGAAAAAAATCATTTTAATATTATTATTGTGAGGTTTTTGTTGTGATTAATAATAAAAATTAATAATAATAATATAAATAATATATTATAATAATAGTAATAACATAATAATATATAATAATATTAATATATATTAATATTAATTTTTAAAACTATAGAAATTCCTTTACCACCTGAACCCGTACTCGCACACTAGGGAACATGGATAAAGGCAGCAAATTATTATTGTGAGCATTTATCTGATATAAAAAAGTGATTCTGAAATAATTTATAGTAATTATACATACGTTTTTTCAGTTATTTAATTAGATTTTTAGATCATTTTTTGAAGTTTTTAGGGCATTTTTGCATTTTTGTGTGTTTTTTAGTTCATCAACATCCTAACTTTAGTAATAACTAATAAGTAGAACTATCCACCTATAAAATGTATTGAACGATTTACGAGTAAATAACTAAGTAACAAAAATTCATTGAAATAATTTACTTCTTTTGTTGAATTTTTTAGTTGATTTAAGTACCTATGTAAGTACCTACTGTAATTAATACAATTACAAACATTTAAAAAAAAATAGTATAAGACCTTTTATACTATGTTGTTTGTTAATCTTAAAATGAGAAGGTATGATAATTAATTTTACACGAATTAAAAGGTAACTTATTTTTAACTAAGTTAAGTTAATTTTTTCAAATTAACTTTTAACAAATAACATAAAAGAGAAAAGTAACTTTTAAATTTAAACTTAACTTAAATTTGTCCATATTAATTTCAACTTGACGAGTTAAAAAAATTATAGAACTTGCCCAGATTTGAACCTAATACTTCCTCACACCATCGAACACTGCCGCGGTGTGCCTATATTAATTGTCAATGTTTGGAAAGAACGTCGTTCTTGAACTCATGTTCATATTCAGTGAACGATAAGCGAATGTCACTGTTTTTTTTTTAATTGGACGTTAACGTAAACGACGTTTATATTTTAATGATTTTTAAGACGCTTAATTTATTTGCCATTTAATAAACATATGTTTAAAATATGTAGATTAATTATTTTATTTACTATTAATATTTTCTTAATGTACCTAATTACTATTCTAAAAATATTTTAAAAATGTTAATGAACGGCCTAGTAAACGCATTCATTTTTTCACAGTGAACGTGAACGCGTTCATTTAAAAAAAATACGGACGTGAACGAAATTGTTTTTTTAGTGAACATTCCGAACACTGTTAGTTGCTCACTGCAAGAAGTTTGCTAGGTACTTTAGAAAACTATATTGAAATAAATAAAAAATATAGACAGTTTAATAGAATAATCACAGCTATATAGATATCATATATTATGGTTAATTGAATAAGTATGGCTGGGTAGTGGGTACCTATAGCAGTGTCGCCGAACTCATATATTACTGTGTGAAGCGATTGCTTCACTTCTTATAAATTTAAATAACTGGGAAGTTGTTGCTGTGGTGAGTGGTTAACAACTTTATATTTCGCTCCACAAAATTTTTTTAAAAAACGTTCGGCTCCACTGTTGGGTAATTATACTTTTGATAAGTACCTTGTACCTGCGTGTAGTTATAAGCTATAGGCCGTACCTAGTAACTAGTTACTTTTTAAACTCAACAGCAGAAAATTAATAATCTCCAAATATAAAACATACTTACTAAATTCGAGCAAAAAGTCCACAGTTCTCGTTTTTGTATTTGGTACAGCAAAAAAACAAGTTAGATTTTTTTCGAAAATCGAAATAGCAAAATTTTATATTACCAGACGCATATCGCCCAAGACTGAAATAATTATTATTAATTGCTCTCCCGCACGAGCCACACATAGATATAGATTCTATTTTCCGTCACGCCTCTGAGTTCATCGATCAAGGCAGAGGTAAATGGTAATACATGGATCTATGCAACAACCGGGCGATTCTATGACAACATGAAAGAAAAATGTTTAGGTACGCGTCGTGCAAGGAGGCAGTAATATGAGTTAAAGGTGGGTTCACACTGCACCGTGTCGTGTCGTGTCGTGAAATTTGCCGTGCTCAGATTGGTCCAATCACGTGGTTAAATCTGGTTTCTACCACCAATTTGACGGATTCTACTACGAATACCATGATGTTCCCACGAATATATTATATACCACGAAGTTGATTTTATCCAACTTTTGAACTTGTGGCTACTGATTTAATAGTGATAATACATGAATTCAAATATTATTTTGATATAAATTGAATGAAGAACTCATTTATGGTATCGAGTGGTATCATGTTTTGAAAGTTCACGACACGACACAGTGCAGTGTGAACCCACATTAAGATGTAACCAAAAGTTTATGTTTTGTAAGGACCGTGGTATAGATTTCAGTGTCTGGTTACGCTCAGCACTTTTGGGGATTTCCACTTTACCGCCAGCTTGACGAAAAAAGGTGTCTTTCCAACATTATCGAAAATTGAACTTTCGGTGCAGGTGTATAGAAAATAACTGTTAAACCAGTGTTATTGTAATGTTAACAATGTTTTTTTACCTATCAGCTGTATAAATATTTTGTTGAACGGGTTGGATTAAATATGGTTGAAAACTTGGGGGGGGGGGCTGCTAGAAGTATAAAATTAACAAATATTTGGAGGGTTACTCCACACTAATTTACGCCTATGGTCGAACTTATTTATTGCATTCTAAGCGACTTAACTTCTTCGTTACTTTCCGAGTTAAATCGTTTGTGCTCAATACATTTCAGACCATTCAGTATTTTGCCAAGAGTAAAATAATACAATCGGAGACCAGAGAATTGGCTTCGTTAAAAAGAGACAAAATCAGACCTAACGAAATGGACCAATGGCACAATGAACAACTGTACGTGCCACCACTGCCGCCTACAAACCTCCGTGGGTGTCATCTAATAAACATTCAATATGATATTTATGTAAGTGGATTTATGTATTGTCCAAGTAAATAATCAAGGTTAAATTTTTTTATTATTATTATCGTTTATAGTAAAAGGGTTAATATACTTTATATAATAATAATGGAAAAAAACAACAACTACGATTAGTAGTTAATTACTTGCATTATAAGTGGCTAGGTATACGATAACTGAAATTTGAAACGTACCATACTACCATACAGACTTTGGACGAATAAAAATGATTTAGAAAAACTTCCCCCGAGTATATTATTATTTTCTGTCAAAATAATAATTCGTTTTTTGTACATTTTTTTATAGTTCATCATATCGCCGAATAACATGGAAAAGGATGTAAAACTACAACTTCCTATTATGATGGGTACCTATCCATTTAGAACCGAAGATGGATCATTCGATGGAAAACTCGGGACCCATTATCCATCGACATTGCCAATCCTACGACCATGGTTGGAAGAAAAGACTTTTAAATGATTAAATTAATTACTGAAAATGATATGTATTAGTCAACTAACCAATTTTCTTATTATATTTTAAATTAATCAATATTTAATATTTAATATTAAACAAAAATTTAAGAATTTGAATTAAACAATTTCATCTGTTTTTACTTATTCCTGGTTTTTTCTGATTAACTTTGATCAACTTAATCTCTGAAAGTTGATATCAAAATGTAACTATTATGAATCTATATTTAATATATGTAATAATATGTAATTATTACTGTAATATAAATTAATAAAATTATTTTGTAATAACTTTGTACAAAATTCAATAAATATAAAATGTTTTTAAAAGCAATTTCTAGTTTCTAATGAACAAAAAAATATTGAAAATCCAACAACACCGAATATTACACTATGATTAAATGATTTAGTACTGTAACACAATATATATCATAGAACAATTATGAATTTTTATTCCATGTAGTATAGACTTAATAGTTTATACATACAAATAGATTTATTGAAAACCCGCAATATTTTAATACCAAAATTATATCAACTAAACAATTGGTAAGCTATGGTTTTATTGCTGTGACAAAGCTAGCATTTACCACGCAAATTGGATCAGTATGTCTTGTATTTAGATGGTAACCAAGACAATTAAGGTGAATTTTATTAATATGAAATATTTATTTTTTTAAATTTAAAATCGGTTAAGATTACTAGGCTTCACTGAGTTTTAAACTCGTGTGGAGGCCAAGGAGTTATCTTAAGTATAAAAATGTTAACATTGTTCTTATTTGCTCAATAAATAGCAAAATATGCTCATTTAAATATAACTATGATCTTAAGGTCGTATATTAATGATTAAACTAATTAAAAGTAACCATTTAAAACATACTTGACTCAGTTTTTTGTAATAAAAACATTACCAATATAATAAGACAGTAAAAATTGAATAATCAATTATTGATAAGAAGTTTTATTATACAACAATAGTAACTAGGTAATAAACAATTTTCATTCATTGGCATAAATAAAAAGACAATTGATTCTTAAGTCTTTGAAAATTCACAATTTTCCTAATTTTCATATCGAAGTTCTACAAATCCTTGAAATTGATTAATAGTGTGCCATCCTGTACAACATAGGCTATCAAGCACCATGCGATCACTGTACATCACTCCATTTAAATGATCCATTTCATGTTGAACTATTCGAGCCGTCCATTCTTTTGCATCTAGAGTTTTTTTCTTTCCATTTTCATCAATTCCTAAGTTGAATTATTTTAGTTAAATTACATTGAAATAAATTATAAACATGATGTGACTTTACCTGTTAGAAGCACGCGTTTGTATCTAGGTACATCTGCTGAATAACCTTTAAAACTTGCACAGGATTCGTTAAATATAATTTTTTCGTGATCCAAAACCTTAAGTTCAGGATTTATCCAAACCTACAATATTAGTCAGTTTTCATTAATTAAATGTGTTAGCTCAAAGTCTAAGTTATTCTACTAATACAATTTTCAACAAACTTGATTTTCAACATATTCCATTCCTTTAAGTAGTATCTCTTCTTTGCTAAAATAATGGGATGGACGTGGAAAATGAATTACAAACATCTGAAACGGTACACCGACTTGAGGTGCAGCCAAGCCAATTAGATTTGATTTTTTCATCAGTGATTTCATTATGTAAATAAGCTAAATAATAATAATAAGTTTGATACAAATTCATCAAATGTCAATTTACTACATTGTAAAATGCTTACCGCTCACCAAACGTTCTTACATTTTGTAATTCTTTGGTCCCAATTTTCTCCAAAGGAATGGGGGAAGCTTTATTTCGTAGAACCGGATCACCGATCTGTACCACATGGCTCGCATAAGGTGGCATCGGATCTTTTGCGAGAAACATACGATTGTAAGTACGTTTTATGAATCGTAACGCCATTATAATACTGTAACACAGATCATATAGATCAATGGATGAACTCTAGATAATATTTTATAGGAAACTACACGTTTTTTAGTTGATGAGAAATATAAAATTTAATTTACCTTTCTACCCAGAGAAATTGCCAATGGTCAGTTTCAAAAAGTCTGTTTGGCTAGTTCAAAAGTGTTTTCGTCCGACACTTTTTTAAGTCGAAAACCTCCCTATACCGAACACTGCGAGAGTCCGAAGTAAGGAGAAGGGAGAACGGTCTCCAGTTACTAAAACTTATAAGTTATAACTTAAAAGTTAAAAAATGTATTTCCACCAAGAGTTAATATTTTCAATTATGATAAAATGGTTCGTTATCAATGTTTAGCATTTTCGTTATCTTGAGATAAAGATTTAAATAAGATAAGACGAAATCGCAGAATTGTCTTAAAAATTGCATACCAGTTGTAGGTCCACAGATTAATTAATAATTATAGTTATTAGTTTTATTCAATCTGGGGTAAGACCGCAATCTGAATCTGGTACACTTTATTTTAAACAATGAATGGTTATGGAGTCTGAGTGCGGTATCCATGACAAGGCACCATAGTCACGGTACATTTATTTAAACCCAAATAGAATGTTTCGATAAGTGTGATGAAACTTTCAACCCTTGAATTAGAATAACCTTAATTCTAAGTTATACTGTTCAGTACTGACAATCTAATAATTTGTCTTACAAGAATATCCAAATGTTTATAACACAAGGTCAAACATAAATATAAATTCAAAATTCAAAGTAGTGGACAGTGGTGAATCCACAAATAGATAATATCTTTATTATTCTATCAATTAATTCTTCAAAAAATTTATATTTTATACTTAATTTCTTGACATTTTTCCAAACGAAATTCTTGTGTGTAAAAAATTAAGGAAGTAATCATATTATTATATATACATATTATAATATTATGTATGTTATATTATTTATGTAAAACAAGATATCACCTTATTGAATTGATGTCCGTTGTTAATACATTTATAGTATTTATTGAATAGGTCGGTCAGTAGACAGTCACAACAAATTTCAAATTCCCTCAAAACGGTAACTAATGGTTATTTAGATTAAATGCTTGTATTTTCATAAAAATATAACAATTTTCAAATAATTATTAGACAATAAGACAGCATTTCTATTTTTAATTATTAAAATAAAAATAATTATATCAGGCAGAGTATACTGCGAATAAACCTATTCCGGGTTAACATTGTAGACGACCTTATGTGTCTAAGAAGCACAAACATTTAGTTCATAATTCTTATTTCACACGTCTAAAAAAAAAAAAAAAATGCAAATACAATACAACTAATTAGTCTGATATTTTAATTAAAATTTTTTTTATTATTAATTTGTATTATAAACTAAATTATACAAGTATTTTCTCCCAACAAAATAATTTACATGTTGCCCTAATAGAAAAAATAATTTTTACTTATCATTTACAAAAAAAAAATCTATATATATATACCTTTACTTATAATATATATATATATATGTTTAATAATTATTATTATTAAGTGCGAGATCCTTTTGAATGAACAAGCTACAGTGTAAAGTGAACTGTCTCTTTAATCTTGCTCAAACAACTCGCTTTAAAATAACTTAAACATTAGTACTTTGGAAGTGGCGTAATCAAAATTTTTATTCTTATAAAATTTGGGAACCTTTGAAATATATATATATATATAAAATGTCATCAAATTCAGTCGTACAAATCAGAATGGCAAGCTCTAATAATAAGTAGTGTTAAGCCACTAAAAGAAATTTTAACTGAGTTTGAGAAAAAAAATATTTGTTCACATAAATAAATCATTACAATTTTTAATTTTTATAATTTAACTGAAAATATGTTACAAAATTGTGTATATATATATTTTTTTTATTATTATTTAAATAGAATAAGGAGATATCTTAAGCCAGTTTTAACATGATTTTGAGCCAATATCCAACATTTTTAGTTACGCAATATAAAAATGAATAAAACAAACAAAACAATCTTAGCTTAATGATTACTTAAATTAATTATTACTTTTTTACTATTATCATGAAATTCATATATTTTAAATTAATTTAATAATATCGAGTTTACAAAAATGTATAATACATAAAAAAACATTGTTAGTCAGTCGATTGTTGACTTAAGGCTGAATAATTATTTTGTCTATTAAGTGCGTCTAAAATTTTATTGTAATTTCAAAACCATCGCTTGGAGTTGTTGTAGAGTTAAGACAAATCTGAAATTATAAAAAAATAAATCAATTAATCTACACAATATAAATCTTAAGAGGATGTAATACCTGCATGTGTTGTGTCTGTCTAACAAGTGCGTAACATAGCAAATTTTACGCTCAGCAGAACACGTGCAGCACCGTTAGTTTAAAAATTAGTGCGAATTGACCTCTTTTAAAATCCAAAAGTAAGATTATTATCTAAACAACCTCATAGGTTTTTTATTATATTTTAATTTTAACTTGAGTAATGAGTATTTTAAAATTGTAAATTTTTTATACATCTTAAAATACTTATAACTCACGTTAAAATAAAAAATATAATAAAAAGCCTATGAGGTTGCCTAGATAATAATCTTACCTTTCGATTTTATAAGAAGCCAATTCACTTAAATTTTTAAATTAACGATGCTACACGTGTTCTGCTGAGTGTACAATTTGCTATGTTACGCACTTGTAAGACGGAGACAACACATGCGGGTATCACGTCCTCTTAACAATTATTGTATCATTTCAAAATACTTATGCCATGACATTTGAAATTAAGTACAACAGTTAAGTTAGTTAATCAATTATGAAGCACTAAAGAATATCTGCGATTTGGCAGATGTTTGTTAACAAATTTAAAATTTTTAAATGAGAAATTAGACTAGAATTCTAGAACTGAAATTGATAATCAGAGCAATGAAGTTTAAATTTGATAATGGTTTAAGGTCGTCACAGCTTAAGAGTGTGTGTGTGTGTGTGTGTGTGGGGGGGGGGGTCTTTGTAGGGACCTTCAATCATTATTTACCCCCTATAGAAAGTGGTCAAAAAGTTACTGTCCAAACCAGATTAATATAGCTTAACGTATCTATAGTTTTGTCAAATATGTAAATATGGTAGTTGAGTTATACCCGTAGTGCCTTGCAATGGTTTGATGAATCTAGATACAGGGAACAGTTCATTAAGGATCACTTTAATGTCGATAAAAAATATTATGTGTAGCTTGTGCGTGAAAGTAAAAGTCACTAAATACTAGAATAGATCATTTTCTTCTTTGCTAAACAAAATAATATTAAGTCTGGAAAATTAGAATGGTTTGATAATAGTTGGTCTATTTCATTTTTAAAACAGTTTAGACTGTTAGTTCTAGAAAAGTTATGCTGTGCAGTATTAAACCGTTACCATCTGCATAGACGGATCAGCTTTATTTCACAAGGCTAGTTTAGGCAACTATTCTGCTAAACCAATCTGTCCCCACAAGAAAATATCTAATTATTGACAACAAAAAGAGATTATGAAAATATAAGTATAGTTGAGTAGTATACAATAATTTTAAATTTTTCTGAGTTTAAAGAGTACCTATTTGAATATTAATATTTTATTACCTAAGAAAAAGAAAATACACAAACAAATATTATCAACACAATATAACTTACAGCTTGGATCCTCAGCTGCTTCAAAACGTCTGTGCAATTGATCATTGGAGAACTTAACAAAAGCTTCATACTGTTCAGATAATTTCATGTTTAAAATCTTGTCATATTCTTCACGTAATTGACTTTCACGTTCATTTAACATACGTTCACAGATCATTCCTACCTAAAAAACAAAAATGTTTTAGTATGTAGCCAGTAAGTATTTAGATTTTTATAAAATAAAAACCAGTATTTAATTTAAAAATCATAAATTAAATAATATCAACTTAATGAAGTATATAATAATTAACACTTTGCAGATATGCTTTTAAGACGGGAATTTTAGAGAACGCTGTGTAAATGCAACATGTTGTTTTAATACATACAAACTAAAGATTGGGTAGAGAAAATTCTAAATTTTGTATGTATTCTTCATCTTCTTTAGCTTTGCCGTATCTTCCAACATTATGGGGTCAGCCAGACACTGCATCAGCTACCATTTGTCCTATATCTCTTTGATACTCATACTACCTATTATTTCCGTGTCATTATTTTATTTTTTAGTCTTCCTCTTCCTATCTTTCTTTCTACATTAATTTGTATAGCCAATCTCACTGCCTCCAAGTCAATGATCATCATAGCATAACTATCTTAATCTATTCTCCCTCATTTAGTTTACAATTGATGCTCTTCTTATACCACTTCTATCAAGCTTTTACAAGTGAGTTACATTGAAAATTTTAAGTATATGGGGACCACTATTTATTAAGGTATATTATTTATATTAATACATGCAGTATAACAATAAATTGAAGATCTAATAATTTATCTTATTTTATTATTTCTACATTGGAAAATTGAACACTTTTTTATCACTAATAAATACTTTACTCCGTAATAATGTGTTAAAGTGTGTTTAAGATTACCCACACAATCAACCAATATTAGGATATATTCTTTAGTACAATCAATCAATATTCCTCTCAAGACCAAACAGTTGGCAACCCCTGATTTAAACTACATAATCTGCGCTATACTCGCCCTCTGTTCTGTTTTTCTATTTATTGCCCAACATTCCGATCTATGCCTCAACATAATAGGCCGCACAACCGCTTTATAAAATCTACCCTTTCAACTCAATGGCATTCTTTCATAAAATACTTGTAACCAACCACTAATAATCCTATTTTTGATGTAAGCCATCATTGTTTTGTACCATCAACTGCTGGATTATTTACTAAAAAATTATACACAATTTTCTATGTTTTACTCCTACTTATCTTTAGTCCGTTCCCTTCAAGTGTTACTTACAAACTAATACATCAAATTAAACTCACGTAAATCATTGAAATAAATTATGAAAAACAATTGGGTAGGTACTCAAAAACATGAGGAAATTTGAAAACATAAATGTGCATTTGTGCAATAGTTTCATAAAGTTCCAACAATTGTAAATTAAAAGAAATACAAAGTAAATACTGTTTTTACAATTTTTTTTTAGTATTTAAATAATTATTAAATATACTTGGCGAAAAGTGAAGAGCGGTTTGTCTTTGGCTGATGATGGAAATGTATTCTCAGATGAACTATCTGAAGAACTGTCATCCAAATTACGATTCTCTGATAATTCCATGTTAAGCTGACGCTTGCGACGCATCCTTTGAACTTCTTCAGTTAAACTAGCAGACAACATTTCTAAAAAAAAAAAAATATTTTTAAATAGGTAATTTTGTTGTATTTAGTTGTATTCAACTTTATATAAATATTATTTAGGGATGAAACATTTTAGGTTTTTTTTCGATATTCTATTTTTGTTTTTAAATAGGTACCTAGGTAGGTTAATTATTTTCACCAACTTTCAGCTTTTGGAAATCAGTATTTATCAACTACAGTTTAAATCTAAATAAGGATAGGTGTCATAATATTTAAATATTATCTGTCAAAAGTCAAAACTCTTTTAAGACATTTTTTAAAAATGGAAAAGAACTTTAAACTTATATACACAACAGAAAAATAAATGTTAACATTTGATTCATAGACATTCTAAACTTAATTAGGTAAGCACCCTGAAGTCTGGACATAATTAAAATGTCAACTTTGTTAAAACTCCTTTGAAACATAGACAATCCAACAGTAATAGTAATTTAAAATTAAGACCTGAAGAATTATATATTATATAGAATTGTTGAGTACCTATTTTCTAAATACTGTAAACAATAGGTATTGTTATCATTATTCATTATTATGTTAATAAGATATATTTTGACCAATTTATGTCGGTGCAATATTTGTTTTTACTTTCAGAACCACGCAAAATATTGACTAAATGTATTCATGTAAAACTGTGTTTATTTTTATGATTTTTGAGTAGATAACCCGAGAGTAAAATAACATAGCTATTATAAAAATTATAGAGAGTAATGTTTTTGAAAGTTTGACATAAAATATTATTAGTGTTAATATTAAAAATATAAAATGTATTGATTGTTTAACATCATCACATAGAGCATTATATGGAATGTAGAATAACATAGAGGAACAATTGTAATAAAAACCATATTCACTTTAAATTTTTATTCCTTTCAATAGTTTTACAGTACAGAGCAGTGGCACCAAACCTGTATTAACCCACTGGGGTAAACCCTGTTTGAGAGTACTATCTACCCAACCATGCGAGATTAAGAGGTGGGAAGTCACCCAGCTTGGTCCTTAGGCCTACCTCTTTTCAAAAATATTCACTCTACTTGCCATAAGTGTCCGGCGCCACTGGTACAGATTTCTATGTTTATATGATAACAATACAACAGTATGAAATCTACGGGTTAGGTTAGTATGCTTACTCGCTTTCATATAGATGGGTAATTTAAGGTATTATAATTATAAATACAAATTTAAAACTAAAAAACATTTATACACCCTATTATAAACATACAAAATGAAAAAAATAGTATTGGCTTAATTTTTCTATCTTATAGTTATCTTATCATATTATTTCTTTGTACGAGTAAGTACACTCAATCACTGTAAATAGTAAGTTGTAATTGCAATTCTTAAGATAAGCCATGAATTAAAATGTACAATCAATAATTTTAAGATGACTCCACTGATAAAACCTATTATTCCAATATTAGAAAAATAGGTAGGATAATATTATTGAAACTATTTTATATTCATCACATTACTCAATATCAACGTTTATGAGTACCGACCATGCATTCGTGATTTAGTATTAAATTTTATTGAATCCACAAAATTCAAAAAAATTTTATTTAAATGTCATAAATTTTTAAACAACTTTCACACAAACTTAAATGTTACAGTCTACTTTTATTCATAAAAGCAGCTTAAATGATGTAATGTTTGCTGTATGCACTTCAGAATATTTATAATATAATTTTTTATTAATGACTAGCTAGATTATTACGATATTATTATCGTTTTATCAATATATTTTTGTTTTGTAACAAATCTCAAACACATTAAGTTAAATTTAGATTCCGCAATTAGGATAATTAGGTACATATAAAAACTTCTAGATAAATGGAAAAAAAAATGTTAATATCATGAATTAGGTAGATAATTTCACATTTGAAGTGTAACATTACACTGCATTATAATTGATTAAAATAACTAAATTGATTAAATTTTCATATAATATAATATATGTAATCAAGATATGAAATTTAACTAAATAATAGTTAAAAACATACACAAGCAGCCAGGTACACTGATATTGATATGAAATCATGACTTCAGAGGATGGCTCATCAAAATATTTACTCAAAAAATGTCTTATAAAAACATGTTTGCACAAAATAGCAGATATGGAGATTAAAATCTAGTTCTGTAAGAACCCCAATTTATGATTTTTAAAGTTGTAAGTCCTAACATCAACTGTCGAAAAAAATAAAAAACAGGCTTCTTATTGAATAACCTCTGTAATTTTGTTAGGTTAGGTGTTTTACAACAAAACCACTCGGTAACCAATGTTCTTGGAACATGCCAAGTATGTTTTAAAATAAAACCGCAGAAAATTACATCGAACTGGTGCTGCAACACATAGCTAACAATGCTATATCTTAATCGTTGTATGTCGACAAGTTTCCGCGAAACGTCTTCTTAATTTTTTCTCAATAGGACACCAAACTTCTAATACTTTCAAATTCGAGAATTGAAACTTTAAGATAAATAGAAACCGAAAGAAAATTATACAAGTACAATATACTAGTGGGTATATTGCTAAAAAAATTAAGTTTAAAGAAAATTGCCACATCAATTATATTAATTTTCAATAATAAATATGGTTATAGAGAAGAATCTAAATAGTGTTTCTAGTTTATTAATTCTAAGAAATTCAATTTTAGGTTTAGGCACGTATATAATCCAGTAGTAGAGTAATTGAAAGTGTCTACCTAGGTAGTTTGTATACCCTAGTATGGAAAACAAAATAATTGATTGATTTAATATAAACATATAAAGTCGTATGGGTAGGTAACCAATTGGGACATATCTTAAACACAATAAGCGAGCAAATGGTAATTAAAATAACGATCAATTGTAATAGACAACTCATTACACTACAATAAATTGTGCAGATCACCTAATATAGGTACGATGATACTATGATAGTATTAGGCATTTCATTATGTACCATCACATTTAGGATTTATAATAGCTACACCAAGTCCCAACATATCTACTACATAGGGTGTATGTCGCAAAACCAATATTAATCATTTAAACCTGCAAATAAGTTTAATCAACACTAATGAAATACGATACCTGCCAATTTATTAGTTATTGGCAAGTCTGATTAGTTTTACTGTACCCACCTACTTTGTGAACACAACGATTAAAGTTAAAATACGAAATCGAGCGACACAGGCGGTTGGACGATAATTGCCAACCAGTATAAATCGCTTTTATTTATAGCAAACGACGTCGCCATCGACACCGCCGCGACAACAGAATTAATAATAATCATCATCATCACTATAATTCAAATGCCGTTTACGAAACAAAAATAAATTCGCTCTCCTTACCTGCTGTGATTTTAGGTACGCCATCACCACCAAAATGGGGCGAGACATATTCGGATCTGGAGCTGTTTGGGGGAGAGCTCGAAGGCGATATGCTCATAGGCGTGCATCTTTGTCTCTTCGTCGGTCTGCACATAGGGGGTTCGAAATCCAACGACCGTTTCAGCGTGGCGCAAGCCATGACGTTGTTCGACGTACGAACACAGAGAAACCGATTCGTTGGGACGGCGGAACGGGCTGTAGGCGAGATGAATCCGTAAAAAATACCCGAAACGACGAGAAGTGTTTTGGAGCACGGAACAAAATGGCTTCTCTACAGGATCGTACACGGGTAACGGAACGACGCAAGTCTCGTAGGTACACACACACACACTCACGCACTCACGCACGCACGCACGGAATGAAAAACGTACGGACGGACGGGAGAGGGAGCGACTCGAGCGAGTGCGAAACAGAAATGACGGAGTACAGAGAATACATAGGACGACCAGCGTGAAAACTTATTTAAATAACTGCTCGTTCGGTCCGGTGTTACCAACCGGGGTCCGGGACCCTCACCCTCGAATCTCGATACACGTCGTAGACCGTGCATGATTGTCGAACCCAGACCGTGGGGCCGTGACCAACCTACTGATATTGACCACGTCTCGTGGAAGAACAATAAAAAAACCACCACCGTGGCCGCCGACGAGTCTTATACTCCAGGAAAATATATGTCGTATCATATTTTTATCACACACAGCAGAATAAGTGATAACCTCGGTTATCAACCTCGTCCGAGGAGCGCCGCGATCAAAGATATATATGTACACAACGGGAACCAGGAAGACTCGGCGGTGAGCGGGGACATCGGACTTCATCCATTGGCCATCTCGGCGATATGTCCTATCACCACCAATATAATAATATTTTATCGTGCGTACGTTTACACCTGGTTGGTATTTTTTATCGTCGTGTAGTTTATGTGACGTGTAACGTGTTACAAACGTTCAAGTGTAACAATTTATCGTTAGGTACCGTTTGATTATCGCTGTCATCGTAGACCAATATTTTGATTATTCAAATTATGTAAATTAACCCGTAACCGCACCATGCTCCCGGAGTAAATGTTCGATTTATGTGCAAGCCGAAACAACAATAATGGCCGGCCAAAAATTTCAGTACGACGAAAGCGGAGCGACATTTTTCTATTTTCTTCTGTCGTTTCTTGCTCTTCTGCTGGTCCCCGGCACGTATTACTGGTGGCCGAGAAAACAGAAAGAAGGTAAAGATGATCGTCGATTGCTGCCTCATCACGATCAATGTGTGTCGTTTAATTTTTGATAATATTTTGAATTTTAGATCCGAAAGCGTTGGCGTCCGAATGTTATTGTCCAGGATGTCGAAAAAAAAAACTCGTCTTGCAGTCCACTAAACCATGGGAACTGATGAAAAGGACGTTCATGTGAGTGCCTATCTTTTATCTTAGTATTGATCTTAGACCTAGTATGCAGAATATTCTCTCAAGGATTAAGGAAAAACACTAATTTTGTTATTGTTTTCAATCCACAACAAATTCTCTGTTCTTCATATTGTGAATATTAAGTAACCATTTTGTGACCCATCTGAGGCCCAACCTAACAATGACCACTATTCCTGTTCTGAAAATCAAAGATTATACTTTTTTGAGAGTACAGTAAAAAAATATAATTTTATTTATTCTGTACCTCCATATTTAATAACTACCGTCCTATATGAAAAAAAATGCTACTGAGTTATCATAAAAAAAATTTAGATATTTGTATTTTAAGGGTCTGTGAGACCCGTGGTTGATTAAATATTGAATTGTATTTATATTTTAGAAAAGTCATCATTATTGCTGGCTGGGTGTTGTTAGCTTTTCTCGCCTACAAAGTTTCTCAGTTTGATTATGAGAGCGCAAGTTTTGATCCATATGACATTCTCAATGTTCCAATTGTAAGTATTCATTAATATTTACTATATATTTTATTATTATTTTAAAATTGCTTTTAATTTTATAGGGAACTAGTGAAAAAGTAATTAAAAAAGCTTACAGAAGGTTATCATTAATTTATCATCCAGATAAAGAGACTGGTGATGAAAAAAAATTCATGAAGCTTACAAAAGGTAACACTTAATAGAAATATTTCAAAATATAAATATTAGGTAATTTATAGTTTCCAGCATTTAATATACCAATAGTTTCATTGTTCAGTGTATTATAAATAGTGAAAAACATACCAAAACCAATCAAATTGATTCAGAAAGTGTTATTTACAATCTTTTTGGTTCTGTATGAACTTCCAAAACATTGTATATTATTATGTTTTAAGTATTTCGCCAGACCAAAACTATTTTTGTTATGATTATATTATATTTGACTCCATTAACCGCTGATGGATAACTTTTTTGAGAGAGAGAATGCATGCTTGTCGGTACCAGCCTGTCGAGAGTTCATTTGCAGATTTAGTAAATTATCTGCAAGTTCATTAAGCTACAATTACTTTTATAGTTTTGTGTTCTTATTTAATACATTACTGTAAAAGATTAATTATGCTTTCTTATTCGAAAAATAATGTTTATATCTTCCAAGGCGACACCTATTTGTTATTAATAAGCTTAATACTATTCATAACATTATGTATAATTTAATAATTTGTTTGATTTTAAATTAATTTAGCTTACCAAGCTTTAACTGATGATGAGTCCAGGAAAAATTGGGAAAAATATGGTAATCCAGATGGCCCTGGTGCAATGAGCTTTGGAATAGCATTACCGTCATGGATTGTAGAGAAAGAAAATTCAGTTTGGGTAATAATAATTATTATATATTAACTACATTGACAGTAATTAGATCTTTTTAATAATTGTACAATAAATTGTGATAAAACATGTATACAACTATTCTATATAGCCGCATTTAAACCTGTTACCGTATCTTCTATACATCCCAATTATAATTTAAAGGTTATTTTGTATTCTTGAGCGAGCAGATTACTGTGTGTGTTGACATCCATAATATTGTATTGATATAAGATTTTATAAATAATGAAAAATATAAATCATTTTGTTTTTTAGGTCTTAGGACTGTATGCTTTAGTTTTTATGATTGCTCTGCCTACTACAGTCGGTATGTGGTGGTATAAGTCTATCAGATATTCTGGAGATAAGGTAAAAAAAATCTTCGAGTAGTATATAAATAAAATGTTAAATCTTATTATTTGTTTTTTTTTATATATGTAGGTTTTATTAGAAACGTCTCGGATGTACTATTATTTTTTGCATAAATCAAATTCAATACCTTTAAAACGAGTTATAATGATTTTAAGTGCTTCATTAGAATTTGAAAAAAAATACAATAGTGAAATTGTTGAACGATCTTCAGATGAACATGAAATGCCTCAAGTAAGAAAGAAACATTTAAGGTTACATAAAAATTATAGAATTGAAATAAGAATAACTTATCTATTTAAAGTAACTGTCCTATATAATTTAAGGTACTTGTTTGTTATCACCTCTGTTGTACCTATTATGTTATTTGTTTGTTAAAAAACTTCCAAATAAAAATAAACAGTAATATATGTTGTTTACAATTAATAGCAGCATAGTTAATAGTTAATATATCATAACTCACTAAAGTTCATTTTTAACAATATTGTAAAATAAGTTGATAATTATAATATTGAAGTTTTAGATTAAAAGTCTCCTGAAGTCCTGACACAAGGTTGTCTAGTAAAGCAATAACAAACATATACTTAATTTAATAATAACATTTTTGTTGCTTTCGTAATTTTCATTATGATGTATTATTATTACTTAAATATACTGATTAAATGAATACAGTATTAATTTGTGTTTGTTTTTCTTTGCTTTGATTAATTTAATTATTAAACATTCATTTTATTTTCCAGCTTATTAAACAACTGTATAATTTTGGAGAAAAAGCACAAAAAGAACCACCACTATCCTATAATTATTCAATAAAAGCTAGAGCTTTGATACATGCACATCTGTCTCGCCTAGTACTAAAGGCAGATACATTAGATTTAGATCGTATGTACATTGTGAAGAAATGTCCATATTTAATACAAGAAATGGTTGGTGTCGTTTCTCAATTAATTTTACTAGCATATGCTCAAAGAGGTTTGTATGATTAATAATAATACCAAAGTGTATACCTGTGTATAAACAATTAATGAATTGATTATTTTATTTTGCTTATTAGTGCCTCGTTTGCTTAATATTGAAACCATAGAAAACTGTATGAAACTTTGTCCCATGGTGATCCAAGCATTATGGGAGTATAAAAGTCCATTTATGCAATTACCATACATTACAGAAGATCACATAAAACATTTCGACAATAAAAAGGTTGGTTGTGTAGTTAATTTAAACAACTTAATTTCTTACTACTGTCATTGTATTGTAGAAACGTGTTAGAAGTATTCAGCATCTTGCTCAATTAAAAAATGAAGACAGGCGCAGCACATTAAAATTTTTATCCGATAGTCAGTATGAAGATTTAGTAAAAGTATTGGGTAGAATGCCTTATATAGACTTTAAAGTTCGTTGTGAAGGTATGTAATGATTTGTTCATAATAATAATTTGATTTTTTCTTTAAAATGTAATATTTATGTTATAACATTTTATTCAGTTATTGATGATGAAGCTACTACAGTTTATACAGCTGGAGCTATAGTAACTGTGACTGTGCAGTTGAAAAGACGTGATATGAGGGTATTGTTTGGTGACGAATCTTATGCAGACAAGCATCATATTGAGGTAGAAAAAAATGCTGCTAAAGAAATAGAAAAAACAGAAAAATCAGAGAAACCTTTGTCTAATGGAGATGTAATAGAAAATAATGAAGATATTGAAAATAAAGAAACAAAAGATGATGAAAAAGAAAAAAAAGTAACTAAAGGTATTTGGCAGCAAAAACGTCAATCTGGAAAAGGTAAAAAAAGTGGAAATGTCAAAAAACCAAAAGCTACTTTGTCAGCATCTGCCAAGAAAAAAATTAAAAAGAAAGAAAAATTGGAAAAAGCAAAAGTATGTATTAGTTTGAATTATTTAATTTATAGTTGATTGTAAACTGCAATAATAAAATTGGTACTTGATAGGAGCTGCATAATTATTAACTACCATTCCCTTGTATTTTTACTTAGTTAATCTTGTATAATCGAATGCTTCTCTTTATAATTATTATTTCACGTTTATTCTTTATTTCTAAATGATTTTGTAATTGAATTAGTTACTGCTAAAATTGACATTTGAAGGTACTGAAGTTTTATTATTTCTCATAAAAAAAATATAAGAATCATCGTGTATAAATCATAATCACCAATTAATAAACATTTACATTATTCCGTGTTTATTTAATTTAATTTTATAGTTGGGAGATTCAGAAACTAAAGAAACTGAAGATGATAAACCTGAAGATAAAGAACAATTAAAAGATAGTAACGCGTCATCAGATGATGACTCTGATTCAGATAACGAAAGTTCCAGTGATGCTTCTGGAGACGAATCAGAGAAGACAGATGCTGAAGAAACAGCTGATGATAAAAAAAAGGTACTTATAATAATTATTGTACAAAAAAACTATCAACTCTGGGTTGTTTGTGAAAGTAGAAATATTGAGTAAATGACAGATTTGGAGTTTTAAAACTCATTAAATTCGTATGCTAAATTAAACTTTTCGTAAAGTAATTTTTATGAAAATGTGATAAAAGAAGAAAAATAATTTATTAATAGTATAATTTAATGTGTATCATGTGTTATATGTAAATGTACCTAATATATGTCAGCATGTAATTATAAAACAATCGAGGATTTACATGTATAATATTTGCGTAAGAATCCCCATGAAAAATGTTGTAATTTTAAGAAGTAACATAGATTTGCCATACATTCACATTTTAATCTCACTCCCTCCCATTGTTGTATACAAATATATAATATAGGTTGCACCAATTGATTTTTTAAGAATATTTAATATTGCATATCTTTATTATATAGGCACCATCAAATAATGATGACGATGATGATGATGATTGGGACAAATTTCAATCTGGAGCTAATAAAAAAGACAGAGTACTTGAAGGCAGAACTAAACAGTCACATTTGGTTCACTCCCCATATTTTCCTGAGGTATAAAAATTATTAACTAATTGATTATTGTTTATATTTTTAAATAATTTAAATATCTTAACAGGAAAAACATGAATATTGGTGGGTTTATTTGAGTGATCGAAAAAGTCGTACATTATTAACTGTTCCATATCATGTCACTGAACTTGTTGATGAAGAAGAAATTCAATTAAAATTTACAGCTCCTAGGTGGCCTGGAGTTTATGTATTTGCTGTTTGTCTTAGGTCAGATTCATACTTTGGTTTTGATCAAATGCATGACATCAAAGTAAGTGCTTACTTTAAAAAAAAAATCTTGGACATATGATAAATTTATAAAGTGTTTACTTAAATTATTAGTTTCAATAGTATCTAAAAATTATATTATATTTTTTATAAATCATAACAAAATAGTTATATAACAAGCATGAAATTGCATGTATTAATTATTAGTATTCACTACTTAGTCAGTATAATTATTAGTATAAATTCAGTCAGTTAAGCCTTTGCGTTGAAAAATATTTTTTATTAGAAATACAAATTAAAAATATTTTCGGTAGCAAACCTATAAATCATGGTTGAAAATATAAATTAAACACCAGAATTTTCAAGTGTTAAATGATTTTAAAATATCACAATAATATACTGAATCTTAGCAGATTCTTTTAAATTCTTTGTCAACCATTGTAGTAATAAAATCTGTAAATACCTTCTATAAAGTACATGATTAGTTTTCCCAAATTAAAAATATACCTATTCAATTAACAATTAAAAACATATATGTAATTCTACGCATTATTATTTTCAGTTGGATGTAAAAGAAGCACCAGAACCTTTAACAGAACATCCACAGTGGGATATTTCTGATGAAGAAGATGACACTAAAGAAGAAGATAAGCAAAGTGATATTTCAGAGTTTACTACCGATGAAGATGTCGAAGATTAAATAATATAAACATATAAAAGCTTTGGGTGACCTGACAAACAAAGAAGTTCAAAACAATAAGTAGAGTTAAAAGTAAGTAAAATAATATAAATTATGATAATATTATTTTAAGGCTTTACATATAAAGCAATTTGAAAAATATATTCATCAACAAAATAGTGTAATTATGCAATATTTTCGATATTAATGTTGTTTTACTATTCATAATATTATATTCAATGTTAAATTTAATTTAAAAATGAAATGCTTTTTTTATTTGACTGATAAAATATATTTTGTTTAAATCGATTATTAATATAATAAATTTATATATTTAGTCCTCTGCCTTATTCTTTTACCTACTTTTCACTTATGTAACAATACAACTTATATATTTCTTAATATTTTATTTACCAAATAAGAATTTTAAGTATTCCATTACATGTAACTGTAAATTTGTAACTATGCAAGTTATATACAGAGTGATTCACCAAGCATGCTCACTCCCATTTTTTCCTTTAATAATGAATTTATTCAAATTCAGATTTTTGGAATCTTAATATGCTCAAAGATCATAATTTCAAATTCTTGAATTTTTTGTACCACAGAAGGAATTACCTGTGAGGATTCAAACTTCTGTTTTTTTTCAAATGAGAACTTTTCTTTCACTGTAAATTAATTAGTGGATAACTTTTCTGAAAACTTTAATGTACTTCATTCAAAAACTGAATGAGTAGTTTTTAGATATTCAAATGTTGGTATTAAGGATAATAGTCCTTAAAACTGGTTTTACATAAATATAAAATAGACTTAAAATTAAATTAAGTATTTATTATAACTTAGGCCATTTTTACAAATTATTGATATCAATAGTTTCTAAAAATCACCATAGCCCCCATATGGTCATATATTATTATCATGGACCTTTTAACCTTAGAACACAAAGTTGAATAACCCAAAACTACTTGTTTAAATTTTGATTTTAATGAGTCAACAATTTTAGAAAGATTATCTAATGTGTAATGTATAGTTGAAGAGGTGTTCTCATTTGATAACCGATGTTCGTATCACTGCAGTACAACAAATTTCAAGAATTGAAAATGATGGTCTTTAAATATATTTAAAGATTTTGAATAACTTACATTATTGAAGAAAAAGAGAGTGTTTGAAAAGCATGATTGATGAATCACCCTATAAACTAATTTTCACTCAACTGTCCTGTTTCCTAGGACTTCTAATAAAATATTATTAATTTATAAATAATACAGTTCAAGTATACAACTAATTACATAGTTTTAAAAAGCACAAAATAAATATAAATAAATTATTATTTATTATGCGATAATTAACAAATGACTGTAAACTTTACAGACCATCCCCATTGATTTGCCTTCCTTGTAACCAATGGTGTGTGGCTGGAGTAACAGTTCGTTGTTTTCAGATCATAAGTACTTTTAAACTATTTAACTACTAGACATGATGTATTTCTGACACATCAGAAACCGTGAATTAAAGATATACTACTGGCAAACATCCACTTGCTAAAGTCTATTATGTCCATGCATATAAAAAACATTGATCTTTCTATTTTTCTCTAAGTCAATGAAAATGTCATTATCTATTTTGTAAACTATATTCGTTCTTTTTTTGTTCTTACTATTAAAATACATTTTTAAACTTTAAATGTGTGACGCTGATACAGCTATCGTTCGTCAAAAAAGAACAACTATTAAATACCCATATAAGTACATAACAATATACAACAGAATAAGTGCAAGTTTACCTGCATACACTACACACATTTTTTAGAAGTTAGAAGAAATTGAACGAGATCATTAACTTCTCAGTTAAAACTACTTTATTTTTGATAAACATTGTCAAATCATAGTTAAACAAAATAGTATAAATAAATTATTGACAATTCTACAGTAATCTGTACCACCAATAAAAGTACTTAATATTAGTATCACCTTTTCTTTCTTAGCAATAAAAAATGGAACAAGTAATTTTTTTTTTTTGTAATCATCTCTCAATGGCATAATGAAACTTGTTTTTATATTTGTATTAGTTAATGAACTATAGTGTATGACATTACGAAATAGTATAGTAATTCATATTCTAAGAAATGTATTTTAAAAAATAAACTATATTGTACAATTTTAATACTTAAATTGTTCATTAGACAGACCATGAGTTTTAAATTTGAATAACTATATAATATGTGTATGCACAAAATTGCACATTGCACAGAAAAAGTGGACATGATTAGAACTTCCGCATTTTTTAATAACTGTCAGCCAGGCATCAATGAGAATCAACTATCATAAGGGTCTTGTTAATATTAAATTTAAAACTACTTTATAAAGAATACCATGACCATTAGCAATATATTATGAATTATGACATAATATATTTTATTGATATATGAGTAAAGAATACAAATGTATTAAATTAAATTAAATTTTTAAGATACTAGGAAATACTTAAAATATTATCTTATTGATTGGTATTTAAAACTATGATTATAAATGTGGTTTAAGCAATAAATTAACGACAGAAACTTGGCGGAATTCCATCATCCATCCTAGCACGCTTTCTCGCTTGCACACCAGAAAAAAACTCTTGCACGTCTTCCACTTTAACAACTTTATCACCTTTAAAGCTGCCTAGCCACTCTCCTAGTTCTTCTTTGAACTGGTTATACTCTGAAATATTAAAAAATTAACTGATAAGTCTCATTATTTAAATAATGTAGACATAAACCAGAGATACTAACGATGAGCTAATTCCACTGCGGCCACTCTGTCCATAGATGATAAGGCTTTGGAAAGGCCATCTTCACTTTGCTTTTTCTTAGCCATCATTCTTTCACGACTTTTGTTTTCATATGCTTGTAAGGTATCTTGTTGATCAGTAATGAATGGAACGCCTTCTGTCTTATATAGTTCCTAAAAAATACATCAAGATTAATACAATTATAATACATTGTGATTTTATATTTATCTTGTTATCATACAATACAAGTAGAGCAAGTACAAAGTTCTTGACGCCAACCCTCTACCCAGAAAGAACTACCAATGATTTTCTTTAGGTCTTTTGCATTTAACAATTTACAATTGCCACCGCTAGAAGTACCAGCTTTAGTATTGTCAGATGTCTAAAAAAAATTTAATTACGAACATAACTTGATATGAAATTTATCAAATAAAACCAGTAATTTAAAATGATCAGTTTTTTAAAGCATACCGTGTCCTTGGATATGTCATTTAAACCATTTACAGCATCATCTAAAAATGAATATTTTGGTGTAAAAATTAAAGTTTTTTATAATCAGTCTAAAAGTTACCTTGAGATTCCTTAATCGTATCCACAACATCCACATCCTATATAAAACAATTTTATTTTCAAATTAAGATGTAAAAATATTTTTAGAGAAAAGCAATTTAATATTTTGTATAATTCTTTGTTAAGTATAAACCATTAATAAATAATTTTATTCTGGTATAAATTATGTTGTTTAACTGAATATTTTTTTGTTTAGAAAACAAATATCATACGTCATCAACACTTGTTTTCATGTATGTGAAGTATGTCAGTTATATCTGAAGAAAAGTATTATTTTATATACAGAAATGAGAATAATTATGAATTAGAAAAAAAATATTTGAAAACATACCTCAGATTCATCACCTTTTTCGATGTTCTGAACAGAATCATCAGTCACTGCAAAATAATATGTAATAACTAATAATTTAATGTAAATAAATATTTAGCTTATAAGAGTTTTTCAAATTGTTTACATGGTTGCTTATTTTGATATATATATAATATATTATGATTTTTGGTACTGAAATAACTGGATTAACTAAATGAATTTTTATTAAATTTATCAACTACAGTTTGTTTATACATTTATCACCTACACTTCATCCATACCAATGTTAACAAAAACAAAAGAGAAAAGTCTTCAATTCTTAATCTAGAAGTTCCCGAACATTTTTAAATGTATATCTGTCATATATATAATATCTGTACCCAATTTTTAATTGACAAATAATATTTATTAAAATTACTAGTACGAAGAAAATAAGTAACTCTCTTATAAGTATTTTTTATAATAAAGACATTTGTTTTATTTGCAAAACCACTGAGTTAAAAGAAAAAAAAAGGCTATAAAAGAAAATATTTTCAAAAATGTGCATGCCTCAATTTCTGGTTTATATTTATACTTGTACGTCTATAATTGACAATTTTTTTTAATGTTAGATATTAAAAGTTAGAACAAATAAATTCTTACCAATTAAATGATTGTAGGCTGGTAAGAAACTTAATTTTGATGTACAACCTGAACATATCATTTCGGAATAATCTTCAGGATTCATATCTTTAGTACCCAAATGCTAATAAAATATTTTGTTAATAGGCGAGTCTAAAAATATTTAATTTTGATGAGTACCTTGCTATGATACCAGTCTTCACAAACAATGCATTGTACCATTTCATCAGTATTTTCAGCATCAGGGTAAGGACGTTGACAAATGCAATATAAGCCCTTAAAATTTTGGTTGTAAACATTGCGGTCATTTGCCTCTGGTTTTGACTAGTTCATAAATAGAAACAATATTTTATAAATATTGAAATTAATATTTTCGTTCAAATTTATTATTTATTGTACTACAAAATACTAAGTGTAAAAGAAAAAATTAAAAAGAAAATAATTTGATCAACCTGTGTTTGATAATCAATTGTTATTATTTTTGAATATTTTTTTGCAACGAGAACACTATTTTAATTATGTATATTATATTGGTAATTTAGAATAACAGTGACTAGTTTCAAACATGCTGAAATGAGTTCATATGTAACTTGATCCCCCCCTCTCAAAAAAAAAAGTAGGCAATGATTAACATAGACTAAACATTTCAAATTACTAATTAGACAACAATAACAAACTCTATATCTCTATCTTAATAACGGATAACTGAAGTAAATAATAGTTGATACAAATAATCACTTATTAACTTAAGTCAATACAATCATCTGTAAAAGCACAATATATCATTTATATACTAAATTATGTTTTTACCGGTTCCAATTGACATTCTGATGTTAACTTATCACTTCCACAGTCACAACGATAATTCCTTTAAAAGAGTAAAATAAAAATAAATTAGTCAATGATTACCAAATACAATCAGGAGCAAGACTTCTTCCTGTATTTATTGTATAAAAACATACATATTAATAAAATGTATAAAACTTAAAATAGAATTAATCAAGGATGGTATTTAAAAATAAATTAAAATTAAGTAATCAACTATGATAAAATCTTTTACATTAATATTAAGATGGAAACAACACATGCAGGCAAGCATTCTATTAAATATTTTTTAATACATAAAAATTATTGTTGACTCATTATTTAATTAATAACAAAATAATATAATACATAAAAATAAAAAATTATAATTCACTATTTATTTTTAAAAGGTATTACATTTCTAAACACATTTTTAATAGGTATATCAGCAAATCAACACAACACAATAAATATATTGTCGTGTATATGGCAAATGTTGTGTTTCATCTTTCTAAAAAGGGGCTTCATTTGGTACATACTATTTTTATATGAATTTAATCATATTAGTTTTATTTAAAATATAAACGCGAAATATGGAAAATGGGTAATGATAAAGATTTATAAGGAAATTGGGTTGTATCGATATGTATCAGGATAATATTGAGAGTTCAAGAAGTTACATGCGGAATATACAAGCGATACAAACGAATAAGACTCAAACTTTGATACGAGTCAACAGTCAGTACATAACTATAGACTGTGGTCGATACTTAAAAAATGTTTGAATCATAAAGTGCAAATTGTATACCTCAGTGTAAAACAAATTGGATTTACCTTTTTGTCCATAACTCAACCAAGTCATGGTCTTCGTGGCATTGGTACATACAGGGTAAACATATAGCACCAGGCAACTTGTCTTTTTCAGTGCAAGTCAGACAAGCGTACAAAGCTTGTCGATTCATGTATCCCTGTAACAAGGAGGTTCAAATAAAACATATTCTAACCATGGCACTTTTTAACAGAAAGGGTCCACAAACCAAGGAATAAGTGCAACTGTCGCTTTCCGACGCCTCCAGTATCAAATCAGCCTGTTCGATCTCAGCATTCTGGTCGTTAATGTACTCGACCAGCCCGACCACATGATCGTCTTCGTTCTCGTTGAAGGAATTGCCCTCGGATTCCGACATGATTTTCAAACGGTTGAAACTCGGACGATGGCGTAACAGTTAACAACCAGCGGCAGACAGCGACTAACGAGTTAGTAGTATTGACTGCAAATCGTAAAATCGATCGTAGTCTCTTCCACGAATCGGTATTTGGTGCTCTGGCAATCCGGCTTTCAGCGCTTTCAGTTGCACAGGTCGCCACTAGTCCGTTGGTTGTAATTCGCTGTTGTGGCTTGTAAGTTGTAACTGTAATAGTCGTTACCACTTACCACAGAATCGTATCTTGTTGGCGCGCTCGAGTACAAGCCTACAGCAGCAGCTCAGCTGTATGTTAGTGTTTGTAAACTGCAGTTATTGCTTATTTATTGTTTATGCCCGCGCTCAACACAATATTATTATTTATTATCTCTAGCAGCACTCCACTTTCAGTATGGCGGCAGGCTTACCTGGATGTTGTAAGTTGTAACCGTTGAATAATAGTTATCACAGATAATTATCGAATGGTTATTCTGTGGTTTTAACCTAACCGTCTACGTGTTTTTGATAATTTTTCTTATCATTATATCTGTGATTGTGAGCTGCAGCTATTGTCAAGAAAATAAAAGCAATTAATAAAAATATGGTTAAATACTGTGAAACTAGGTATATACTATCTTGGTTCGTCAAGAATGTTATAATTTCATATAGACAATAAGTCTAATTAACTTCGATACCGTGATACAACTTGGATATTTAAGTATTGAATAGAATTTTGATGTGTCATTTTTATTGACATTTATAGAGATTTTAATGAAATCACTAACAGGTAAAACAGTTTTGGAAATCTTACGAATATACTTGAAGTTTGATAACGAATAGAAAGTAAATTTATAATGCCAGTGTCATCCGTGTACCATGAACGTCATGTTAAACTACGAAGTACATGATGTATTTCAATTGTGGTACTAATAAATAATTTAGCTATACATTTTCTTTTTACTATTTTAGTATATCATATTATTTAAATGACTACTCGAAGAAGACGAGGAAATTCTGATTCAGATCAACCGTTCACAAATAATTATACCACTCAGGAGTCTTCAGTTGCTTATTCAGGCGAAAAAGAATCTGGCAAAATAATGCCACGAGACCGCACTGCTGAATTCAATAGTGCAGTCAGATCACTTCAAGGTCGACAAATAGCAAGAGCTGTGCAAGTTCGTGATGTAAAAAAAGTTAAAGCTCTTCAAAGTTATGGGGAGTTTATGATGATAGCCAAAAGTGTTGGCTACAACATTAGTAATACATATGCAAAATTAGAAAAATTGACGTTACGTAAGTTTTTTAGAATAAATTTAATTTTACAATCATGTTAGGTAGCTCTTATTTTACTGGTTGGTACTTCGATGAAAGTTAAAAACTCTAAATGCAATGTATCTGCCAATGTTATTATTTTTTTTTTTTTTTTAATGTATCTGATTTAATAATTCAAAATCTTATGAACTGAAATTATAAAATAATTGGTTAAAAAGTGATATACATGGAAAGCTGTTTGATATTTTTGTTTGGTCAGTTTATGACTTGCAATTATAGACCTTATTTTACATTAATTTTGAATAGGTATTATGTTTTATAAGTATGGTACCTATGTTTAAGAGTAATGTGCAAATGGACAACAGTGATTTTCTGTATCTAATAAGTTCTTTCCACACCATCGGACATATTTTTATCTTTGCATTACAATTTACAAACTAGATAATTAATTGTATTTAGTTAAACATGATTTTGTTAAAGTAGTACTTGTACAGTTGTACTGTGATTCTTAGTGAACTAACTGTCACTATAGACAATAATCCAGATATTTTGAATTATGGTTTTTAAATCGGAGTATTAATAAATAATAAATTTAGATAGATAAAATAAAATGTAATTTAAAAAAGATCCATCTTATTGCTGCTAATAATTGTTATCAACAATTTGATGTAACTATTAATATTTTTTAACAAACAATACCAAGGGCGCCTGTAAAAATATAAACAGGGGAGCCAAACTCAAAAATCTCTTTTAACTCTGAACATTCTATTTCGTTGTTTTTACAAGTGATAAAAAGATTAATAATAATTAAAATAGTGGGAGGGCATGGTTCCCTCTAGTACCACCCTGCAGGCTCCCATGCACAATACTTTAATGTATTTTATTTAAAATATTAAATTATTATTAATTACACATAATATTTAGTTGCCAAACGGAAATCGTTATTTAATGATAGACCTCAAGAAATTCAAGAGTTGACTTATATTATTAAAGAGGATTTGAATAGTTTAAATCAGCAAATTGCAAAATTACAAGAAGTTGCTAAACTGCAAAAAGCTACTCAGAATAATGTTGGACGAAAGCATTTATTGTCACATGAGTCTAGTGTTGTATTATCATTACAATCAAAGTTGGCAAATATCTCAAATGAATTTAAACAAGTTCTTGAAATTAGAACAAAAGTAAGTTTCTGTTAAACTGTGGTAGTGATTATACTAAAATTAATAAAATATTTGGTTTAGAATTTAAAACATGCCAAATCAAGAAGAGATCAATTTTCTCAAGGAAATAATTTAGCTGCATTATCGGACTCATCAGCTCTAGTTCCAAGACACAATTCTCTTTTAATGTCTAGTAATCAATGTGCTATCAACATGGATAATAATGGTGATCAAGATCGTCTACAGCAAGTCACACAACAGACACAAGCATTGGCGGTTTATGATAATACTGTATGACCAAATTAGTTATACATAGACAAATAAGTTTAATATCAAATAATATATTTGCATATAGAAAGTATAAGCTATATATGATCATATTCGTTTGATATTTTTCAATCAGATTCGTAGTAGGTTTATGTCATTCACTTTTTTTTTTGTAGGATCAATATCTGTACAGTAGGGCAGAGACCATGCAAAATATTGAATCAACTATTGTAGAATTGGGAGGAATATTTCAACAACTTGCACATATGGTTAAAGAACAAGAAGAAATGGTTGAGAGGTATAAAATACTTAATGACTATAGTCAAATAGATGCATATTTTTTAGCAATCTAATATTTAAAAATGTAATGCATTTTATTGTTTCCAGAATCGATTCCAATGTTCAAGATGCTGAACTGAGTATTGAAGCGGCTCATACTCAAATACTACGTTACTTTCAATCAGTTACTTCCAATCGATGGCTAATGATAAAAATATTTGGTATTTTAATATTTTTTTTTATATTTTTTGTTGTATTTATTTCGTAAACATGCATATCTACTTTGTTTTTTCATATCTAGACAAATTGTTGTTAATCCATACACTGTTGTCCAATTACAAAATTATGAAATATCTGTAAAATAAATAAATACTATATAACCTATTATTACATTTTATTATTACACATTTGTTAATTATTTGTTATAATATTGCTTAAAAGTATTTTAAATTTTAATAAATTTTAATCTCATAATATTACATGTGTGTAGTTACTAATTAATAATGTTAAATGCCTTATATTTGACTAACGATTTAATTCATGTAACTATTATTCTAAATTTAAACATTAATACTTTTTGAAATAATATGTGTCTTATGTTAAATGGATCACTCAGTACGTTATAGGTATATTTAGCGAATAGGTCTTATATTATGTCCTTGTGTGAGTATTAAATATTTTGCTTGGTAGGTAGTCTGTACTATTCTGAACCAGGGGTGTCATGTGGGAGGAGCAGGGTGTGCAACGGCACCACTAACTTAAGAAATGTTAACAATTGGCCCGCTATTAATTTTACAATGCTCCGTCATAATTATCTTATCTTATACATTATGATTTCACACATAGGTAATAAAAATAAACACATCACCGAAAATTGCTTCCATATATTAGCTGTAATGCTTTTTTATTGAGCAATATTTAACATTTCTGAACACTAGTTAAATTAAATCAAGATTGGATTTCTATTTTACCCAGTGAAGCAACGTGTGTTTTTTTTTGTGCCAACCCTGATAAAGGTCTAAATAAAAATATTATTTAAAATTATTTCAACATTATCATGACTATTATTGTAAAATAATTCAGTTAACATTTAAAAAATAAATATCACTATTAATAAGGCTGTATGACCTAAAAAAATTAAGTAGGTGTAAATTGCTAAATATCTCTAAGCTCGTGATCGATAATATAAATTCCTAGACACGTACCTCACCCTTAACCAAAAAGCTGTAAAAGTCAAAAACTTCTGTTTGACACTCTCAAATAGTCAAATGTTATTCCTCACATCCTTTGTATAGGCATGGGTGGAAACTCGGAGGGAGGGTGGCTTAGACCCCCCCCCCCCACATGACAGAAAAGTTCTCATTGTATATGATGAAATCGAAGCCCAGTTCACGTTGTCGTTAATAATGTTAGCCCTCCTAAAATTTTAATGAATTTCCGCCAAAGTTTGTAGGGATAAAAATAGAAATGTACTACGTATCGTAAATTCGCAGGTTGGTAGGTAAGTACTAACTATATAATTTATAATACAATTTATTGAGATAGAGGTATCTTTATTAGGTCAATTCACTCAAATATTAATTAAGCTAAACTAACAACAGGAAATTGGAACTATTGGACGTATATTATTATTTTGGTATAATATGATGTGTTACTGTGTTAGGATGACGGAGACAAGACATGCAGGTACAACGTACCTACTCTTAAAATAAAACAAACGGACCTATCAACGACTATATAAGTATCGGCATAAAACAATAGTATCGGTAGAACACTAGTACATAAATATGTGGTTACGTATAGCAATAGTATGTTATATTGTAATCTTGAACACCAAATATTTTTTATTTTTTCATTGATAATAACTATCGTGTAATAATAATTTAAGTTTTGGTAGTATTATGTTCGTCGTATGCATTTATATACATTTTTCCAGGGACAAACGCTACGTTTAAAAAATTAGTTCGTATAGTCCTAAGTTTCATATCCAAAGAATAATATTTCATCTATAGGTATATTCATAACACTCATGTGAGTTGTAACTATGTCACATATGATCAGCTGATAATACTTCTGAAATACATATGTTTATTATAATATTATGTGTAGAATATCTCAATAGCTGTATAATATATGCAATATGCGTATAGGTAGCAAGGTAGGTACATACCCAATATACATGCATATATAGGTATAACCAATACTACATGGCGATCAACTTCCAAATAATGATGTTTATTTTATTATATTGACCTCTATATTTTATAGGTACCTACCTACTTGTATTTTTTAGTCAGTGTTGTACGTTATAATTGCATAGTAGATAGTAAAAATAGCGTATTTTTATATGACTACAAACTACAAGCACTAAGCAGTATAAGCTCCAAAAATTATAGGTACTTAGATTATTTAAGTATATCGTTTATTATATTTATATATAATTTCAAAAATGTCTATTACAAATATAGGATGACATGGATTGATGATTTATCACCAGCGTGAAAGATTCCTTTTTGGAGGAATGAAGGAAGGAATTAATTTCTCATTTTCAGGAATAGAAACGTAAATATTAGAATTATTTTGTTCTTCTCGGAAATGTTTTAAAAAAACATTCGGGGAGAAAATGTTCGTTTACTTTTCATGTTTTTAAACTAATAGACAAGACTACCAAATTTTAATTCACATATGACGGTGTTCTGATTAGTAAATGTGTAGTATAATATATATTTATTATTAACTAGTCACTACAAGAGAAATATTTGAAATAATATTTAGGATGTATACTAAAATAATTTTATAAAGTATTAATGTAAACTAAGGCGGAAACCAGATACTTTTTTAGAGGAAGGAGGAATTGAACGAGTTCTTTTTAATATTAAATGAACGAGGAACTGAACAAATTCCTATTTATATTTAAAGAACCTATATATATAATAAAATCATCCTATATAAAAGGAACGTTAACAGTAACACTGTTTTTCACTTAACTACCTACTTACCCTCTATATTATAATAATAAACCTAACCGAATAGTATGATACTATGATATACTAACATAGGTAATAATATTAATATTTATCAACTTTGGAAACAAAATGAACGACATTTTCAAAATATGATTTAGGTAAGAAAAATAAAAACAAGTTGTAGGTATTATACATTAATAAATTATATGTCTTGTAACAAGACTCTTGTTCTGTTATTACACTTTAACATAGTGCTTTAACACAGAGGTATTCAAACTTTTTCATCTCGCGGCTCCTATAAGTCTTCACAAAACGTTGACGGCTCCCAAATTATAAATGACAAAAAAATCAATGTTAATATGATTGTAATTTATATTTTATAATTAATTTAACCATAATATTACATGTATAAAATAAATTAAAGCTATATTTAGCGAATGATTGTTGTAGGCAATTCAACGTTTTCCGACCAGTGTGCCTCAATGATATTGGCAAACGTTTTTCGTAAAAATATTTATTGGTTTTCAATTATACTACACGGCTCCCTTCGACAACTACTCCCGCGACGCCCCTGGGAGCCGCGACGCACAGTTTGAATACCCCTGCTTTAACACGTTGTATAAAACTTACCATAGCCTACCGATGCCCGATGGGTTAGGTAACTTACCTAATGGTAACCTCCCTCCCCCTATGGACGAATTGTATTGTGCGTGCGGCCACAGATATAGAATAACATATATTTAAATCAATGAGATGCCTATATAGCTTAATATAATATGATTTAAAATTAATAGATAATTTTTTCAATCATCAATTGTCCTATGTATAAATAAATAATTCTGAACAGATTATCAGATGAGCGTCCTTGAATTATCCATACTTAACTCAGCACAGTCGTATAATTTATATTTTCATTGGTACCTTGTACTATTTTTAAATATGATGGTACCTCCCTTATTATACCACGTAAACAATTTTCACAATGAAAATTATGGAAATAAGTATTCTAAATCACGTGTTGGAATAATCCGCGTGTGGATCACCGAGTAGGTAATGAATACAGCTGGGTTGTTGGGGCTTGGGAGGTATGCATACTAGGTAGCTATTAAGTATAATGTAATATTATACACCTACATAATATAAGTATCAATTAATTTAATAACCGAGTAGGTAACTACCACCTATATTGAACAAATTGTTAATACGATTTGTTATTTTTTAAACGATAAGTGAATAAGTCACAAGAATTATGTTTAAATATAGGTAGGTACACATTAAAAACTATTTGCAGCCACAGTTCGCAATAATATACATTAATGAAGTTATCATTAAATTGTTAAATAATTTATACATAACTTATAATAAGCTATAGGAAATATGTATTGAATTATAATTTATAAATAGACACCCGCACTGTATAAAACCACTATCTACCAAAACGTTACAATGATAGCAAAATAAACATCCCACCTATGTACTATTTTATATGGACATAATATGGTATTATAAAAAATTAATTGTGTACCTTTTTATCATACTTCGGGAAAACAAAATAGATTTATGTTAGAGTTGCAGGAAATAGAGATGGACAATATCCAAGGCCCCAAATTTTAAATTGTACTGATAGTACCTACTTATAGCCTCTATTGTTACTAAGTATTACTATAATACATATTACATTATTACATAATTGTAGAACGTATAGAAAAATTGGGACGTACCTTCAATAATATTCGTCTACAGTCAACAATAAATTATTGGCGAATGAAATCATTAAATAATAGAGTTCAAACAGTTATTAATTATTATACTCTACAAAAATCACAAATTAAAAATGAATAATATTTTTTTCCTGAGCAATAATAATTACAGAATTCGTCTACATGTATTATGTTATGTGACTAATGTAACGAATTACTACCTATAAATTATAATATATATGTATTATTTGTTTTGCGCAAATAAAAATCGCCGACTCTAAGAAAAAAATTCCCAGATTACAATATTATTACTTACAACCACATACAAATAGATATTGAACAGTTAAGATTTTTTGAATACTATTAGTGTAATTATACCACATTATTAATATTTAATTAAAAATTAAAAATTATCATTGAAAAATTAATACATACATAATATATAATAAATAATTTTCAAACATAAACAATAATATTTTGTTTTTTATTACGTTATTATTAAAAATGAAATAACTGAAATAAATATTACGTTTCCTTTAAATTTTCCGAATTTTTTTAATTCTAAAAGCTACAATATTAGGAAACAGTCAAATAATGAACTGTGAGTAACTAAATTCATTAGGTATTGTTTGATAATTATTTTTATTTAAAATTTAAAATTTAAAATAATATTATATCTATAATATAAAATATGTAAAAACAACTTTTAATAATTATATTTACACTATCTTCAAAATATTATAAGAAACGTAATTTTTTTTCGGAAAATTAATTTTTACAAAATTTTACTTAATACTGTCATAAACAA